CCTTCAATTTTAGTAGTTTTTTTTTATATGGTGGAAGCCACGTAACACCTACCTATACATGTTTCAACATCAATTGGACCAATGTCTGAAAAAATCATTATACGTGAATCAACATTTAAATTAAATTTTCTAATCAAATAAGATGAGTTTTAATTACTATATATGACGTAGGCCATTTAAAAATTGCCTTTTTGTGAAAAGACTAGACTCTTTGTAATGGGTTAGCCCGTTTGTGAACTAATTATTATTTTCCAAACAGCCTTCTGTTTTTTAAATTTATTGTATACAGACTAATATCATTTAGGCCTTTTAAGAACTAMAATTATTATATTATAGTTATAACTCAATTTTACTTACTTTATTTGAATGGTAATTTATTTCTTAAAAAAAGAGTAATAGAATTATTATAGGATATTTATTAATACATAATTATTATATTTATTTAGTGAAGTTTATGACATGTAATCTGAATACTGAAGTTTCGATTATTTTAAATTTGGTATATGCCMATAAATTTATACTTAACCTAAATATTAACTATTTAGTAATCTGACTTGTTTTATATTACAGTGGCTTTTATTTGATTTCGTATTAAATATAATACTATATAATAGGTACCATACTTATTCAGTTTATATGTTATAAACTCCACCAAATAAATATAATAAYATTAAATGAAATATATATTATTAATGATTATAAATTTGCTTTTCAAAAGATTTTAAATCATAATATTCATTTGAAGATGGTGGAATTCAAAACGTACCTACATACATTGTATGTATATAAATGAAAATCTTCAGTATGTAAATGTGAAAAAGAAAATCTATATAAYTTAATTATTATTGGGGTTGAAATTAATTTCGTTTYTTTGACAACCCACACGTATATACTATACATAATAAATAATTCAATGACATTCGAAATACGATAATCTTAAATAACTAAAAATTTGTTTTTTAAACTTACGTGTTAAATAGTAAACTACTATAAAATTAACCGAACTAACGACAAAATTGAAAAACTTGAGTTTTTGAATTTCATTAACTGCGAGCAAAGAGAAACTAAACTTTGTTTGGTACACATTCTCAATTATATAAACATATTCTACTATGAGGCCGATAATAATTTAATGTAGTTCATAAAATATAATAGATAAGTATTTAATTTTTTAGTTTAACCTTTTACCTAATATGGACATTATATTAATAGACATTGGCGTGTGCCCCTAATTATGTATATTAACTCATTTAAATAGATTGTAGTTTCGATTGTGTTAAGAGTGTACATTTTATTAAATTGCTAGTTAWGTTTAGAAGAATTGAGCATAAAAACTACCCCTTCGTCTGACGGGTAATCGTTTACCGTTTTACTCTGTGAATTTTTTWAATTACATTTGTTGGTGTAATGTCATCGTAATATATTGAGCATTAAAAAGATCTCATGTTCAAAATATTCATTGTGGTAGGTAATCAACAAATTTAAAAAATATATTTACTAAACATTTGAAATAGTGGTCTATTAAACCAAAACGAGAAATAGGTACATAGGTTTGATATCTTCTTAAATTTTAATAAAGATATTCCATACACCACTCATCTCGGCGCCACTCTTGATATATTATATATGTTTTTCTTATGCTATGTATATTTTTTTAACTCTACTAATTTTTATGTTAGTGTATATTTCTATTTTGTATTTCTTGATTTTGGAATTTACTTTTAATTGTGGTTTTTTGACCTTGACATCAAACACTGTTGCTATATTATATATATACTAGTACCAACTTAATTAATTACACAAATAGAATATCAATAAGAATGGCTACCTATAACAACAATTTAAATATTAATTATGAAAACAATCCGATGTCAAAATAATTATTTAAAATCCTGATAAATTAGTTTTGTAGTAAATACACRTTGAGTTTTATACAATTATAATTGGATATAAATWGTAATTAATATTAAAAATACATTTATAGCACATATATAAATAAAATTATCTAAATAAAAAATATACCTGTCATTAAACATAATAAAGCAATTTCGTTATTGCAAATAATATACAAAATTAAAAGCTACATTAAATTAATCTCTTAATACTAAAATATAATCTCTTTATATCATTATAATTTCATATAATTGAACATGACAGGTATGAAATATCTTCTAGTCAAAATATTGACTGATCAAAAACATCGACAAATCAAAAACTATAATACCAATATGATGTATTCATTAAGTAATTAAACGATAAAATTACGTATATTTATTGAAAAGGTGGATGCTAGACATGAATATAGGATAATAAAATGACTTCCTAATCTAAATATTTCATCTTAATCATAATTTGTTGAAAGTCCAAATTGCTGTTTATTGCACTAAATAGGTTGTTATTTTTTGCGTGCCAAGAGTAAAKTATATAAAGAACTTTGATTAGGTACTTAAACAATATAGTAACATTGTATAGACTTACTAACTAAAKAAACAGAGCAAAAAATAAAGGTAAAACAATTAAATTAACCAAGAATATAAAATAATAATTCTAAACTGATAATTAGAGACAATATAATTCTCTGATTATGAGACCTTAGCTTTTAAAATTATACCATAAATCTAATCATGCTTTGGCTATTAATCTCGTTATGATCATATACTTACTATAGTTATTACTTAAGGCCATTATAACTAGGTATATATAACTATGTTAAACAACATACTGAATGCTTGTTATGTAGATACCTATGAATATTATTACAACATTTTGCAATTGAAATACTAAAAGCTTACTGCTAAAAAATTCGGGCAAAACGGAACTGCGTTAATACGTCAATAGACATTAGGACTAAACCTTAAACATCATGGTTTTAATAAAAATATGTTACTTAAAAATTAATTTCCCGATACTTAAAAACTAAAATAAACAGTATAAATCCAATTATCCAAAGGTAAATTGTGAATAAAAATTAATATTGAATAAAAACTTTTTTTGTTAAACTGTAATATAAAAAAAAAAAATACTTTAAGTATTAAGAGCTGATAAAAAAAAAACTCATTCTACATAATTAAGAATTACTAAGTGAGTTAAATGTTTCTATAATGCTGGAGAAACTATAATATTCTTGTATTAATAGCTCCATAGATAACTAAAATAAATTATTATGATGCATTTCATATTTAAAAATCAACTTATACCATGTACTGCATGCTTTTTATGTAAAGTCCTTTGAGTATTATCATAAATTTATCTAATTTTGATAATTTTGCTTTGTTTGGAAATGATGGGCTGGATTGTATGGAATAAATAAGGCCTCGATAAATTTCAATTGATGTTAGAATTAAACCTCTAATTTCTCGCGGCAAACATTTAATACCATCCACAGCTTCAAATTGATGCTTGTTGGCTATCTTAATCATTGCGTTAGCGTATCTTAGCAACTTTTTATTTCCCAGTGACCTAGGATTCTTTTCTTTGCACAATATCCTCACTTCTTCGACTTCGTCATCCATATATTTAGTAGGAAAATAGCAACGACCCAACTTCTCGCTGTCATTGATGAGATCCCTGGCAATATTTACGAATTGTAAACCCTAAAAATATGCGTGTGCAAATTATGTATCGATATAAATATAATGAAAATGTTGTCAAAAACAACTTACGTTTCYTATTTGATAAGACTTTTTAATCAAAAAATCATCCTTTTCAAGAAATTCGTATTTGTCAATGTTGTATCTGTACATGATGATATAAACACATAACGCACCAAAACTTCCAGCAACGTTATTGCAAAATCTTAGTAAATCATTTTCATCCCGATATAACGTACCACCTATATCTAACTCAAAGCCTGCAAGTACCTCTTCGAATGGCTTACGAGGCAAAAAAAATGCGATTCTAGCCAATGCCCGAAAACTAGCTAGTTCGACGTCAGGCAGTACCGATTCGTATTGAGTCCAATCGACGTCCACTTCATGTGGTCTTGATTTAACATCATAATCTGRTTTTCTGTCAGCAAATTGTTCTCTGACGAATTTGTAATAGAGATTTAATTTTAGTTTTAAATTTTCAGCGTTTGATGCCGATGTATCATCAACCACGTTATCCGTAATACGACCAAGCGCATAAACTATAATAAGATCCAACCGAATTCCTAAATTAAAAACACGTAAGTACCATCATTTTATATACGTATATAGTTTTTAATAAACATATAATAATGTATATATATATAGTAATAATTAATATTATACATAACTTAAGACATAGGTCATAACTTAGGTAGGTACTCCAATAAATTCTTAGGTTAATAAAAAGTGTCATTGAACAAATGTGCAATTGATTAATTAATTTAAAAAAAAAAGTTACTGGAAATATAGTACAAAGAAATCGTATAAAATCATTAAGTGTATACTGTATACATACTAAATATTGCCGTGAAAAAATGTACATTTTTTAAATTTTAGGAGCATATTTTTAATTTTTTATATACATTAATAAAACTGTAGTTTATATAGAAACTCATACTCAAGACTTAACTCTTTTTTCAAACACAAAGATTATTAAATGTATTTCACACAATCGACGAACTTATTCACTATATTTTCATCGTTAGAAAATATGAACGAATTATTGTATGTATTATAAATAACGTGCAGTAGTTTTATAATTTTTAATTAAACCATGTAACTAACAACCAACATAATATCGACAGATTCAAATTAACAAATCAATAGATATAATATATATATTATGTTTTACGTGACTTTGTTATTGATAATACTATCTATTTATATCATATACGTACGTTGCATTARATGTATTAAATATTTTTGTTTATATTTTAAAATTTAACCATCTCGATGACTTACCAATATGAAACAAATAAATTGAAGTGCCGAATATATTTGAATTATCTAATACTTTGATACACTTCTTTAAATCTTCAGTGACAATGGACGGCATTGAATATTCCGATGTCGCGAACGCCTCAAACATTTGATAAATGAATTTCCAACTTATACTAAACTGATGTTGGTAAATCAACGAAAACGTGACGATCATGCCGTACGCTTTGTCGTAACAAGTGCTCGCTAACACGATCATCGCGGTCGTTATAAACGTAAACAGCGCTTCTTCCAGTGGCAAACCCCTGGCCACGGTCACGTTCAAACTTGTCGCGTTATTYAGATGCCACACGTCCTCCTTCAGCGCTATCCGGTTCACCCACAACAGATACGACGTCGGAATCGCGATTGCCGCGGACGACAGTCCTATGTTTTTCACGAAATAATTTCCGGCGCCGTACCACATGGCCATTATCACGGGGGACGTCCAACACAGAATGTTTCCCGAGTAGAACGTTTTCCGTCCCGGTATGGCCATTCCGTAACCTATGGCCGTGGCCACGCTGAGGAATAGGATCGGCACCCATCGGATCAACTGGTAAGTGCGTTTGTCGTGGTTGAAATTCAAAAACGGCAGCCTCCACCGGAGACAAAGCACGGCCCACAGCGATGTCAGCACGATGTGTAGGACGACTGACATGTACTCTTCGACGGGTACGTTGCCCACGAACGCCGAMACTCGTCCGGGCGAATACGACCTGGCCCCGTTGACGATATTGTAGTTGTAACACGGCGTCGTAAAGACGAGTGCTACGGCGCTTATGAATGCAATCTTAGACATTTCCCAGCGATTGATGAACGGCAGTGTTATTAGCGTTAACACGCCAACAGCGGGAATCGTGTACGTTAAATGGATGTCCACGTAGCTTAACATTTTCAACGGTTAGAGGACACTAAAAAATGGAAACAGAAATATATAGTGTTAAATTATGTATACATCCCACACAGCAATATCATCGGAAAACATTAATATATTGAAAGTATTTTATATATGCATAGTTTTTGTAATATTTGAATATTTCCAACGAACATTTTTTTTAAAACGTGAAAATATTAACCAATAAAATATTTTCAAAAACTAAATTTATCAGACTTTTTCTATGACAGATAATTCAGAAAAGTAACGTAGCTATAAAAAGGGATAAGCTTGCTAGGCCGTAGCTATATTATGACAATAGTATAATCTTCGATATTAAAAAGGTTATTATATATTATGYAATCCGTCGTTAATGAATCAACAATGTAACACKTCTCTTGTCAAAATAGTAAAATCACATATGATCGATGCATTTGTTTAAATAATTTCATTTAAAGCGCTGCAGTTATCAAAATCTCAACGCCAATATCACGTACATCACAATAATATTAAATATAGGTTTTGCGTAGGTAGGTAGATAATCAGTTATCAATATTTTGATTAAAAAATATCAGCAAGTATTTCATATTCGTATATAGATTACACTTATATATTATTATGGCTGCACCTAATCGGGCGTGGCAGAAAMAAGAGCGATTTTWATCGACAACAGAATTTTGCGAGCGAATTTATTTTTTGCAACAGACCAGGTAAGGCTGTGCACGTTTATTTCATGACAAGTTCGTTAAAGTTTGAATCAATGACCGATTCCCAACGGGCTACTTGTATATCAATGTCGTTTACTATTATATTACATAGGTAATAAATATAGTAYCAAGCGTAATTGGGAATTTCTCCTGGTAGGAGAGTAGACATTTTTTTACTATGCGCATACTGTATCCTGTACCTATTTATAGATTTATTTATATAAATTTTAGGGAAGAATTCTACTGGAGTATGTTTTGTCGGGGTGTCAGCACATCAGCACATAACCCTATACAGGCAGTCATTTAAGTAAACAGAATCGTAGGTTAGGTTAGGTGAGCCGTTAACTAAGTTTATGCATATGAGCTACCTTATAACTCGTAGGGGTTGTAAATAATGAACTAGCTAAAAAAAACACCCTCCGAGGAGTCTCAAAGAATAATTTGATGTTGATATAAATTTTATCGAAAAAGTTTTAGTAGTTTTTATTCTTAATTTAATTCTCTTTTGTATTTAAAATTTTGGTATATATATGTATATAATATTGACAAGCTTTTAACCGAAATTTTTTATGAAATATATTATAAGTTCTTAACACTTGACTATTTAAAAATTATCTACTTATACCTATATTTAAAATTAAAATTGCTCACTCTATATGTATCTGATTATTTTTTAATGAAAATTAAATATGTTGCTCGTATTTCGCACACATCAGTTCTATAACAAACCAATTGCCAGGAAACTCGACTCTACCAAGAAAACTTCAAACACTCAACTTGCCTTTGAAAACTACTTACGAAATTCGGAAACACTGGTTATAATAATACTTTACCTATAATTATTAAATTTACATTGAATATGGATCTCTTAAAAAGTGTATTTTTTTCTTGTGAGTTACTAGTTATTGTTTTTTAACAATATCCCGACAAATATTATACAGATAAATTTAATAATTGAAYACATTTTACAATTTCTCCACTAAATTTAAAACAAACACTCTGTTTTTCCTTTGGCTRAATAAACTAAATGTGTATTTTAACGATTAAGTGTAGATCTTAATGTCATACGACGATTCCATAGTTTCAGTATGCATACACACTATATTTAAATCTGAAACTAAAATAATATTTTTAGAATTTTCATGCTTATAACTAGGGGTTATACCAATTGGTTCAAATTATCTGTAGTTTTCTTTGTCAATGTATTTTAATTTTTGGTTGTGTATAAGTCTATAAAAATATATATTATTACAATATAGGACTATTACATATTATTCTCAATTTTTTTTTATGTTACGTAATTTAACTTAAAAGGGAAAAAATATAYAAACTAAAAAGAAAATAATAGTACCTGATTTTAAATGAAGATACTCTGAGAAAGCATTTTAAATGCGTTTTAGTGTAATTAAAAAGTATTTGAATACTTTTACTCAACTACTTTGACTGAAAATACTCATGTTAATGGTATATTTTAACAATAGGTAGTATTTATATTAAATAATTTAGAAAATTAAATAYTTACTAACCTGATGATAATTATGAGGACTTATAATTTTAATAAGACTATTTAAATTCTAAAAAAACATTTAGTAATTTGTACAACTAACTTAAATGCAAATAACTTTAATACTTCTAGACAATTTTAGCAGTGACTCAAGGGAAATCTTTGTAAACATACGCTTATATAAATAAAACGATCAAGTTTGAAAATGGAAGGGAAATTATGAAAACTATTATCAAATTATGTAATTATTATTATATAAACGCAGAAAATTTATGGTAACGTACTATTCTTTTACAATTTATTATAAAAGAGATGAATACAAACACAACAAATAAAAGGTCATAGTTAAAATAAATCATATACATTGTAAATCAGAAATACAGAGTATTTATCATATTATAAAATATCCGGATGCATATAGTAAAATATAGTTTTCAAAATATCTTTTGTTCGAATACTAATGTGTTTTATATAATTAATATAATATAAAATTGGTACTAAGTAGTTTAATATCTATCATTAGAATTGATTGAAAAATACATTATAATTATTGTTAATCCATGCATATTTAAATAWAATGTTTACGAACTTTAAAATAGAGGGGCCGTTTAATTATTAATAATAATGATCAATGTGAACTCAAAAGGTCGCAATGATAATAAATTCACATTTTTAATTAATACATTATTAGAAGTGTCAGGCATAAAGAACAAAAAATAGTAATTTTCCAAAAAATAGTATCAACTAAAAGTTTCTAAAACTGTGATGAAACCTCACTATCCTGTCTTCCTGACACCTTGAACTCACAAACAAAATTGTCTTTCATAAATCAGAAATATTTTTGAATCTTTTCTAAACAATTTATTATAATATGTTTCAATAATATGGATACAAAAAATAAATGGCATTGGTGAGATTATCGATTGAAATAATTTTAAATCTAATTTATGGAATGTTGCAACAATTAATGTAATAAAAAAGTTGAACAGATTTATCAATATTACAAAAACTATTTCAAACTACAATTATTATAGAAATTGTTCAAATGTCTCATAAAGTCAGCAAGTTTTTTGAATATTTTTTGTACAATCAGTTGCGATATGTATCAATAATATGGATACAAAAAATATATGGCATTGGTGGAGTCATTAAACAAAACTATTTTAAACATAATCTATGGATTGTCTCAACAAACAGCGTGATAAAAAAATCATTCTAATTTATAAGTTAGACGAACAATACAATTATTATAAAAGTTATCCAACTGGTTTTTTTTTATCGCACTTTCACTAAAAGTTTTTCGATGCAAGTTGAAGAGTTGGAATATGGCTTTTAATAATACTAATAATATTAACTTAATATACGTATTTTTTAGGTAATGTATATTGGTTAGATTATTAAAATTCCATATTATATTCGTTAAAATTGATTATGTAATTAATTTAGTTCAACTTTATTATGTCATTAAATTATTAGGTATTATAATTTTTTATAATACAGATATGTTTGCTAACTTTTAATAAAGCAATAAATATTTTGAGAAAAAATTGGTTGGTTCAACAAATTTATGAATTGTAAACCAGGAATACGTTATATGTAATACTGAAAATATAGTATGAATCACAATATCCCTTGCCATTTAGTACCCTTCAACCCATAAAAGTCTCAAATATCCTCAAACAATATTTTTAAATTACAACAAAACTAGATACTGAAAATCGATATTCTTGGTTTTAATTTGTATTTTTGTTCAATTTCGAACTTAAAATGTTTGTTAAAATAAATATGTTAGTTAGGTTTTTTGATTGTTATTTATAGAATGAACAATTTATGAGAATCATAGTTTTAAATTTTCAAATCAGTTCGGCTTTAACGTTCAACACGAACACACGCATATCGTCGCCTCGTTAAATTTCGTTATCGCCATAGTGCGCTCGTATATTAAATTTAGGTCTACACTACTATGGTATCGACCGGTCTCTTTAAATAATGTCTCAGAACAACAAACAAAAACATCACTTAACAGACTCTTCATTGTCACTTAAGCATGATGACTAAAAATCAAAAGTCTTTATTACTCCGAACAAGTATGCTGTTCTTGCCAATGATGATACACCTGACAACGTGAGTAAAATTGGTATGTCTTTAACCAGTTCTAAAGATGTTCTCGCGAATCCACCTCCCGCCAATTAAGACTCTGACTCTCTGGCTACTTCGATTTATGTCNGGTATGTCTTTAACCAGTTCTAAAGATGTTCTCGCGAATCCACCTCCCGCCAATTAAGACTCTGACTCTCTGGCTACTTCGATTTATGTCAAAAATATCACGAATTACTCAGTTTTCAACGCCACTCTCTCGAAAATCGCCAGCCCAAGCGGTTTCTTGTGGAAGTCTACGTCTACATACCTCATAGTTTAACCTTTAGGTCGAACCAACTTCAACAAAATTGTAACGAACCTAAATGACACTGATGCCAGATTACTGTTTCTATATTTATGTTGATACTTATTTAATATATAATAACAAATGAATAGTCAAATAATTTTTTTAATTAGCATAATAATTTTTAATATTTAATTTAAATAGTATTAATATTAATGTTCATAATGTTTCAGATAATTGAAAAAATGGTGGTTAAAATTATTATCATCGGAGCTGGAGTTGGTGGTACAGCAGCTGCTGCTAGACTTAGCAAAAAAGGATTTCAAGTAGAAATTTATGAAAAAAATGCATATAATGGAGGAAGATGTTCACTAATTTATCAAAAYGGACATAGATTTGATCAAGGTCCATCATTGTATCTGATGCCTAAAATATTTGAGGAGACATTTGAAGATTTGGGAGAGGACATTAAAAATCACATAGAGTTATTGAAATGTCCATCTAATTACAGTGTACATTTTCACGATGGGGAAACATTCGAACTTACCACAGATATATCAAAATTATCTCGTTCTTTGGAAAAATACGAGGGCAGTGATGAATCGACATTAATTAATTTTTTGAGCTATTTAAAGGAAACTCATGTACACTATCAAAGGAGCGTTAAAGTTGCACTAAAAACTGATTTCCAACATTGGTATGACTTTTTCAATCCAAAACATATACCCGACGTAATCCAACTACATTTATTGGACACTGTTTACAACAGAGTTTGTAAGTATTTCAAGAGCGACTACATGAGAAAGGCGTTTTCGTTCCAGACTATGTACTTAGGGTAAATAGAAAAATATTCACTAACATTATATTTTAAATAAAGCTATATTTTTTTTTAATGTTTTTAGAATGTCACCATATGATGGATTAGCTCCATACAGCTTACTGCAGTATACTGAAATAGCAGAAGGCATTTGGTATCCAAAAGGAGGTTTCAATAAAGTATTGCAAAGTCTTGAAAAAATTGCTGTTCAATACGGGGCMAAGTTCAATTATAATACTGACGTCCAAGAAATAGTAGTTGATGATAAAGGAAAGGCGAAAGGAATTAAATTGGTAAATGGTGATGTGGTAAATAGTGATATAGTGATTTGTAATGCAGATCTCATATATGCGTACAACAAACTTTTGCCAAAAACATCTTACGCTGAAAAACTCGGCAAAAAAGAACTCACTTCATCTTCGATATCATTTTATTGGTCTATGAACAAAATTGTATCACAATTAAAAGTACACAATATTTTTTTGGCTGAAAAATATAAACAAAGTTTTGATCAAATATTCAAGGATCATACATTGCCCGACGAACCATCGTTTTATGTAAACGTACCTAGTCGCATCGACCCAACAGCAGCACCAGAAGGAAAAGACACAATTGTGGTWTTAGTACCRGTRGGACATATATCGAATGTACCTAATRTSGATTTCGATCAACTTGTCAAGAGAGCTAGGGAACAWGTAATCGACACAATWCAGAAAMGATTGAARATWTCCAACTTCAGAAGTTTGATCGATCATGAGATAGTGAACGATCCGAGAACATGGCAAAACGAATTCAATTTATGGAAAGGGTCTATACTAGGATTATCTCATTCATTGTTTCAAGTTCTATGGTTCAGACCAAGTTTGAAATGTAAAATATTTGAAAACTTGTACTTTGTKGGCGCTTCAGCGCAACCTGGCACTGGTGTACCAATAGTGTTATGTGGTGCAAAATTGCTAGAAAAACAGTTGTGTAATAGATTCTTGGATGGTAAAGTTGAAATAAGCATATGGTCGAAGTGCGTTTCATTCTTAATCGGTCTTCTAGCACTTCTGATTTTTTGGTTTTTTTTTGGATTTTAATAATATTCTATTATCAGGTATAAAACACATATATGCGTTTATCATTTAATTATTGTAATACTCTTAAACATTTTTAAAATCTTTAAATTTATGTTATAAGATATAGTGTACTCAGGTTGTTTAAAATAAACAATATTGAAGTTTATGTTGAATTGTTGATATACTATTAGGTAGAATAATTTATACTTTATAAAAACATAATGATTAAATATATATTTTATAGTATAAATGGTTTGAATACAATAATATATCCAATATTAATTATATATTATAGATAATAATATTTTAAATGTATTTTAAATATTATCACCCATCCATTATCTACTCACTACCTATAAATTCAATCTTAATGTATTTGATTATTTAAAACTGAACTGTGAAATATTATATTCTATTTGAGAATATATTTTTTTATTTTTCTATTTTTCTAAAAAATGTTAAGCATACAATTTAAATTCTTAGGACATTTATTTATGTCAATTTAATCTTATTAAAAGAAATATATATTTATATAGCTACATGCTAATATTGTTTTTAATTAAAAATTACTAATGTTTTTTTTTTTGAAAAAAAAATATACGCTTAAAATTTATTTAAATATATACTTACATCCATTTAAGCGATTCATTGTTTTTGCGTCACATCAAGCCATAAAATGTATTGTTTTATCGTCTTATTTTGCTAATTTACAAAAATAAATAAAGAAGCCTGATTTGGCTTCGTAGTTTGCATCAGCCACTAARGTGTTCTGAGGTTAAGCATCATCTGGCGTCGCTAATTCCCAGATGGGTGAACACTTAGATTTTTAAAGACAAAGCTTCGCCGCACATAAAGGTATTCTTCGACTAACCATAGGCGCCTTACAAAAGTGCTGATGGCAATTGTTGTCGATAGTGATCGATAAAAAAATTTTAAATGTAAGCCAATAATTCAATAATATTTACTTAATATTTTATTATACTCGTATATATTTATAAGTTTTAATATGACATAGTATTTTATAGAATATTGAAAGTATATGATATTATTATGTTATGTCTTATTCACCACTTTCCTATTATTGACCTCCACATGCTTTTGATATTAATGGCTTATTAGTTTTAGGCTTTAGCCATAGTTACACTCGCCTACACTTAATTTATAGTCACAATTGCGTAGTATCTCGTTCATATATTTTAGAGGTACGTAACAATATTTATAATGTAAAAGTATTTAGTTTTTACTACCATACTATATGTATACCTAGTACCCTTCRTGGAAAATTCGAATCTATAATTGGCGGAATTAAAATATACAAAAATCTGGTGAAATCATTAGAAGTTCACAAATAAAGTAATAAGATGTTTCTATTTATAAACATTAAACATATAGTAT